TTGTGCAGTAAGATGTAGTTATTAGTACTGTATAATGTTGTTGTTATGGTTCTCTATTTTGTTTTGTCCAGTGTTTTATATAGTTATACAAAGTTATGCAAAGTTTCTTTTTGAATATTGGTCATTGGCAATAATAGATTGTTGTACCATTGGCCAAATGCCTAGAAATAGATGCTAGTGTGGGTGTGGAGAACTGCCAAGGGGTCCATTTTTGCCTGCAAGGCCATTTCCCCAAAACATCACCCACCTTGTCAATCAGCCAATGCTGCTGAGTGAGGTCAACTGATGAGCGATCCATTTTTCTTTGGCCGCATTCCACTGGCATACAGCCAGAGCGGCACAATTTAACCCTTGCTCATCAGCTGATGAGTAGGCTTTAAATCCTGCTCACATCCCTGAAGTCTCAAGAGTTCAGTCCTCCTGGGCCCTGGTTTGCCAGCACATTTCCTGTGGGGAATGTGCTGGAGAAGCAGGTTGCTCCCCACACCCCTGTGGGGTCAGCTTTGACAGCTTATCAATCACCTGATGCCAAATGATTGGCAGGTGGTTTTCCCCTGATCACCTGTAACAGTTGGCCCATGCGGTGAGGTGGGTCATAAAGATCTGGGCTTCCAGACCAGAAAAGTTCCTCACCCCTGCTCCAGTGTGCACCCCTAAACAACATAATCTTGCCCTTTTTATTAAAAACTGACAACTTTCGCGGAACTTTGTCTGTTCAGCAACAACAATTCTGAACAGGAATCTTTATACTTTGGGGGGGGGGGGCGGCTTATTGCAAAAACTTTCTCTTGTACATCCCACCAATTCTTTTCCATCAGCATTAATTGTGTTTTAACAAATGCTATGGTTGCCCGGCCGCCCCCGCCCTCCAGTTCTTGAAACACTTGTATTGCAGGGCTTTTGCATAGTAAGTAAATGGGACAAAGGATGCATCACCAGTTTTAATTGTCTGTAGCCGCTGAATGTCTTTAGTCCCACTCTATGACATTTTAATGCTACTTTTAGGACGGTTGCTGACTTCAAAAGCTATCTCTGCTCATTGCATTTAAGATGTGCTAGGTGTATGACAACGTATATTTTTCCCCAGCCAAAGGGATTCAAGATTATAAGTGACGGCTGTAATTTGGCCTTATTACATATTCATTAAAAACATGCAGGTGGTCAGACTTATTGAAAGGCTTCTGTTTTCAGCCTGCGTGACGGGGCGTTAATTTTGTCTCTCTCTTTTCTGAGCAGTGCATTAGTGGACTCTTTGGTTTGCTGTAATGAAAATCTTATCTGCACCTCTTTTTGCTACACTCCTATATTCAGTTCAGTTTTTACATGGAGGGCCTTCATTGGGCTGTTGGTCACTCTTGCAAAACAGGGCTTCTCTAAAATGTTCTGTGTTCTAAGCAAAATGGCGGCAACCCTCCTTTTTCCTGTGCTGCTGTACAACACTTGTTGCATTTAAATTTACTTATTGATTTTTTGGGGGGGAAACAGCAGTAGTCAGCAACTAGATATAAATATGCTACAACTGCACAGGATTGCAGATTGTGAAAGTTGGTTAAAATCAGTTTCCTTAAGAACTTGACTTCCCTTTTTTTAAAAAAGCAAGTTTCTGGCCCTCTGCCTCTGGAGATGCACTTGAAAAATATACCGTATTTTTTGCTCTATAAGACTCACTTTTTCCCTCCTAAAAAGTAAGGGGAAATGTGTGTGCGTCTTATGGAGTGAATGCAGGCTGCGCAGCTATCCCAGAAGCCAGAACAGCAAGAGGGATTGTTGCTTTCACTGCGCAGAGATCCTCCTGTTGTTCTGGCTTCTGAGATTCAGAATATTTTTTTTCTTGTTTTCCTCCTCCAAAAAACTAGGTGCGTCTTATGGTCTGGTGCGTCTTATAGAGCGAAAAATACGGTACATGGAAATGCATGCTGGAATTTCAGGAACCAGAGAGGTGGTCTGAAGCAAGAATGCTCTGCCCTTCATGGCTTCTTGCCCAGCTGCAAGGCTAGCAAAACTAGAATAAATTATGCAAAACCCCTAAAAACCCTGCAGGATAAATTGTACAAAAACCGCGCGTGTGCAAACTGTCCTGTTTGCATAATGTGTCTGTGTAGACTTCACTTGTTGCAGGATATGGATTTCCTGGATACTGGGCCTTAAACACAGAGATGTGCTTAGTCCCCCTTGCAATGTTCGGCTGCCTTTTCTCCTTTCCTTTTAGAATCATGGAGCTGGAAGGAGCTATGGTAAGGTCACCAGATGTCCCCGTTTCCCGGGGACAGTCCCCAGATTTACAAATCAGTCCCCTGACAAAATCCATCTGTTTAGTTGGAAGTTGAAAAGTATCCCTGGATTCACTGAAAAAAATCTGATTACCTTAGACTATGGGGGTCATCTTTGCCAATCCCCTGTGCCCTGTGCAGACTCCGCAATGCAGGGTGTAACTGTAGCATCACCATCCCACCTCTGCTTAAATGCCACCAGTAAAGGAGAGCCCACCACCTCCCAATGCAATCTACCTGCTCCACTGTCAAAACTGCTGTTGTCCTTAGGAGGTTTCTACTGCTGTTTACACTGCTACCCTGCAATTTCCACCCATTAGTTCTTTCATCACCATAATGACTGGCGCCACCCAGCAGGCTCCAGGGCTGGTGACAACCATTTAAATTTCAGAATTAAAAACAGTTAAAACAAATTGCAGTCGCCGGAAGAAGGTGGGTCCTGAAAAACACACAACTCGTGGGTCTAAGGCGAGAGTAAAGAGATGTGTCTCCAGCACTCAGCGCTGCACATTGAAGGTGCAAAACACACCCCTGTGGGGAGCTCCACAACTCAGGGGCTGCCACAGAGAATGCCCTGAGGGCAGTGGAGAAACCAACAGGGTCCCCCTCTGCCCATCTTAGCACACAAGAGGGTCTGTCGGGAAGTGGGCAGCCTCTTGGATCTTCTCAGTCTCCCATATGGAGTAACAGGGAACCTCTTTGGCATATTTGGAGCCTGCGATCATTTCTCCTATGAATTTAACCAGCTGGCCTTCTCAGTGATTCCCTGTTGCCCAAGTGAAGTGGCTAATCTGCTGGCTGATCTGCTCTGTGCATCCTAAAGAGCAAGTGTCTGTGCAATGCTGAAGGGTGGGTTTGATTAAAGGCTATTGGTGCCATAAAGGAAACAAGTGTGGATAATGACCTGCTTTCTCTTTTAATGTTTCTTGTAACGGTGCTTATGTTAAGCAGCTTTTATAGCTGCCTTTTTAAAACAGGTTGCTCCCCTATCATATTTGGTTGACAAGATGACATTTAAATGACTTTTAAAAAATAATAATTGGCATTTGAAAGAACCCATTTGCTCTTCAACTTTTTACGCTCGCCCTTTTAAAAAAAGAAAACAACATAGCTCATAATGCCGGGATGGGGGTAGGGAGTTGGGTGTATTATTACACTTAGGTTGTGTGTGTCAGAATGAAGACACCTGGATGCAATTTTCCTCACTTCCTCAGTTTTGGGTAGCTATTCCTCCTCAGATGTCTTTCCAGTCTGCAATGCTCGCCCTTCTGCCACACGGCATGAGGCAGAAGCTGACCTGGAGGGCTTTGGCAATGGCATTTGTGTATGTTTGAAATTCAGGAATATGTCAGACCTTTGGCCCGTCTACTGCATTACTGTCAACACTGACTGGCAGTAGCTCTCCCTGAGTCTCCCACCTTTCTTAATGTCTGTATACTGTGTGCTCTACAACTACAACAACTCTGTCCTGTGACTAAAATGAGACTTTGTGGCTTCAATACCAAGCCAGACTTTTTCTTCTTCCTTCACCGGTCTTTTGAAACTAAAAAGTTTGCTCAGAGCAAGCTTTTACTACGTTGGCGTTGGACCCTTGCTATGTTGTCACATATTCTGGAACACGCCTCGCCACTATGCTGGACACCCTGGGGTGGCAAGGGCACCTTTCTTCATATGTGATGAGGATGCGAAAAACTTGCACTTTGTTGGCAGTTTATATTCATGGACCTGTCTCCAATAGCCAGCCAGTTGCTGATCTTGGACCCAGTATTAGCTTTCCTGGCCACTGTAAGTGACTCACATCCCTTAAATCCCACCCTTGTTCACAAAGAGTTGCTTGCTCTACTGCTGGTTGCAGCCAGACTCGAAATTGTCAGACATTGGAAGGCTGCATGGGGTCTCTCTAGGGGTGAATGGGAGGGCATGGGGCATTGCCTTACCTGAGCATCTAACCCGTCACTGGAGGGTTCCAAAATGAGAGCATTTTGATGTTGTATGGCTTCTGTTAATATGCTTTATCAAGAACAATAGAATTCTGCATGAACCCCCAATGACGCATACCTCTATGTGCCAAGGCTTGCTTTCTTCCAAATTGTAACTCCTGCTTCCAAAACTTTGTTTTGCAGAATCTTATTATGTGTCTGCAAGTCTACTGAACCTTCTGTTCATTTTACCCCAACTGTAATAATGTACTCCACACAGTTGTTCTTTGTTTCCGTACTATTTATTTTGTTTATATAGTGTTATTTCTGAAAACTCAATACACACTTTTTTTTAGCTCCATTTTGGGACATTTTGGTTGGTCCTAATAAATACCATGCCTAACCATGGAATTTAGAAAAATGTGGTAACTTAAGACTTTGTTCAAATGTGGATGCCCAGTGTTAATGATCCCTTGAAAAGTGTCCTGTGCGTCTTACCCCTATTTAGATACTGTTTCTTAAAAATGGGGTTTAGGGTCCTAGGAACGCCTGTACCATATGATAATATACCAAATTGCTGTTGTTGACTAGGCAATATATATATATATATTGTATCCCAAAACTGGTGGTGATGTGTAATTGCTCTTTGGGTTTTCGTATCCGTAGCATTCATTGTCCTTCATTTTCTTCCTTTGTGCATTGAATCTGTCTTGTAAAAAGAAAAGGGGATATAGTAACATAAAGCTGATAATAATATATCAAGCTGTTCTCTTACTTGCAAAATAACCAGTTGTCTCTTTGCATTCTGAAGGATCCAGCCTCCTGAATTCTTCAGGCAGAAGTATGCTGTCAATGAAGTTCGGTATACAGATGAGGTGAGTGTTTTGCCTTTGCCAAGATCTTGTGAAGCTTTTTTGAGGGGCAAAAATATTGGGTAGATAAGTATTAGCCTTTCCAGTTTGAAGAGAAGCAGTTGGAAAGTGGTCTTTGTTGCAGTCACTGTCTGGGATCCCACTAACAACTTGAGGCAAGTGTGTTAGAATATATATTTTTTAATCTCTCCCCCTTTCACCCACAAACCCGCCTTGCTATTTCCCTACTTGCTTTTGAAGGATTTCTCCTTTATGGAAATGGTTTGCTTTGCTGCGTGAGAGGTTTGCAGTTTGTGCAAAGAGATACCCAAAACTCTCTTGGTGCACAGGACTGGTTGGGAAGGGCCAGTGTACCTCCGTGGCAGATCATCTGTTTTTTATATACAGAGTGTCCCCAAGTTCAATCCTAAATGGCATCTCCAGGTCAGGCTGGAAGAGACTTTGCCTGAAACCCTGGACAGCTGCTGCCTATCAGGGTTTCTTAAACTTGGGTCTCTAGCTGTTTTTCAACTACAGTTCCCATCATCCCTGACCAGTGGTCCTGCTAGCTAGGGATGATAGGAGTTGTAGTCCAAAAGCAAACTTGGGAGACCCAAGTTTGGGAAACCCTGGTGTAGATAATGGTGGCTTGGGTGGACCAATGACCTGACTTCAGTGTAAGACAGCTTCCTTTATTCCATGGGGCTCTGGTTTCTGAGAGTCTGTGTAGGTACCCTTATCACCACCACCTACTTTTTTGGGGTTGAGCACTAGTACCCATTGGATGTGGTGTTCACATGGGCTCAACAAACACGTCTTGACACCAGTGTTTTATTGATACTTTTCATGCCGTTTTCCCCCCTGAAGCTTCCTTAAACAGAGTCAGACCTCTTGGAGTATCTGAGCTCAGTGTTGTCCGCACCAACCTTTGCCAACCTCCAGACATATTGGGCTACAACTCCCATTTGCTCTAAACGCTGGCTCAGAATATCTGGAGCAAGGCTGACAGAGCCTGATATTTATTAAATCTGTATACCGCTCTTCATCTGTAGATCTCAGAGTGTTTCACAGCAAAAGCTGTCGTACTGTTAATTGGCTCTCCCGGGTTTCTGGCAGGGGTCTTTTCCCCAGCCCTAGGTGGATATGCCAAGGCTTGAACCTGTAACCTTCAGCCTGCAAAGCACTGAGCTCTGCCCTGAGCTATGGCCCTAAGCGATCACATGGGGCAGAGCCATAGCTCAGTGGTAGTACATCTGTCTTGCAAGATGTTCAATCCCTGGCATCTCCAGGTAGGGTTGAGAGAGACTGCTGCCTGAAACCCTGGAGAGCTGCTTCCAGTCAGTGTAGACAATACTGAGCTAAATGGACGAGTGGTCAACTTCCTATTAGGAAGTTGCCTAATACTGACCACTCGCAGTTCCTATGAAGCTGCTTTTGATGGCAATAGTGCAAGCTTGTTGTGGCAGAGAGTCTGTGAACCAGTAAGCCTCAGTTCAATTGTTTGCGTCTTGATGTGAACTTGCCTTGGGCAACCTCTTTGGCCTGAAAAAGGAAGATTGTAAAAAACCTGTGTGCACATGACATGCTTTGAGCACTTTCCTAAAGCCCTATAAAGATGTTTATTAATATCATATACTGTATCTGCCCTTTTCTATCTAGCCAGGCAATTGCTGTGTTCTCCTTATGCCCCCTTCGTGTGTTCTGGGTTCTTCCTACCTACGTTTTGTCTGTGATCATTGTGGGGCACAGAATGAGATTTCAAAACAAACAATTTCTCTCGCTCTTCAGGGCCCTAACCCTGGTGTGTACCATTCTATTAAAAAAAACCATATTTGGGGGGCTGGCATTTGAAACGCAGTTTGATTCTTGAGATGAGTATCCCTCTGAAATAGCATTGCGCTAATCTATTCATTCCCTCTGCTGCAGCTACTGAGGAGGTTTGCTGCTTGACATATCTGGATTGGAATCGTGGTTTCTTGTTATCAGGCTTCATGTGTCGAATACAGAAGTGCTAGTTAAGGGCTTCTTATCTGCAAGAGTGGATGACAAGTGATTCCCGGCCAGAAATTTGTGCCTTGTTGCTTAGTATCAGCTATATTGACAATTTGTCAGAGTGTCATCAGCAAACGCTGTGCTTACCCTGATTCCGTGCTTAAACTGTTGTGTGGGACCAGGCTGGGGGCGGGTGGAATTAAAGAGATGCGGCTTTCCTTTATGCTTTGGAAATCCAGTGGCTGTTGCCAGAGCTGCAGAAATACTTTCTGGGGGATCTGCTGCCGTGAAGTCCTTTAAACATGTTTCCGTTCCACAGATACTGAAATAGCTTTCCATCTCTGATACAGCCTCTACATAGGAATCTAGGAAGCTGCTTTATAGTGAGTCTGACCATTGGTCGATCTAACTCAATATTGTCTACACTGACTGGCAGCTGCTCTCCAAGATTTCAGGCAGGGAGTCTGTCCCAACACTACCTGGAGATTGCCAGGATTTGAACCCGGGGCCTTCTGCTAGCAAGGCAGACACTCTTTTGCAGAGCTATGGCCCAGCCTCTAGTCTTCAGGCTTGCCTTGCTGAGATCCTCCAGATTTATTGACGTTTAAAAATGGGCTCTGAAGACCTGCCAGTCTAGTTAGAAAGGCTTTTGATGCTTAATGTGCATAATGGATTCCCCAGCCCCTTTTTTTGTTGAATTAGGAGTTTGTGTTACACTGTGTTAATGGTTAGTGAACGTTGAATAGTTTGTGTTTGCTTTGCTGAGATGCTGCTGCGTCTTGTGTACGTATAATTATGTGGAGGGAAATGTCATTTGTCTTTTTTAATAACAACTTTGCTGTGAGTGGCTTTGAGCTCAGCTTTGCTGGGAAAGTAGCACACAGATAATTTCATTGGGCCTTTTCTTAACTGCAGCCGTTGGTTGGACATGTGTATGTGTATGTATCTGCTGTTCCTGGTGTGCTGTTTCTTTTGCTGACTGTTTGTTTTTAGAATTGTATATAAGTGTGTTTTTTTCTTTTTATCCTATACACCACCTTGCGTATGCCTGTGGTATAAAAAAGGGCAGGATATAAACCACAAAATAAATATGCAGTGCCTTCCTATCCATTGACCTATCTGTTGAGATGCTAAGAAATGTTTATGAACATTCCATCTTCTTAGAAAGTTAAAATGGTCGTCCCAGGGATTTGATGGGATCGGTTGCTAAAAGAGTATAATCATGACAGCAGGCGACTAGATAGAATGTGGGAATGGTCTGCAGAAGTAGTGTGAGTGTGAATAGGGCACAGTAGGTGGTTGGGCATGGATAGTAGAGCTCTTGCAAGTTGGCACCATTGTGAAGCTTCCTTAGTGGCCAATGCTGGTGAGCGATCAACTGACCACAATGATTCTTCTTACTTTGCAGATTTCCAGTGTTCTGGCTTCAAAGAACCCTTCAGTTCTTCTTACTCTGGTAAGTGACATCTTGTGCTCTTAGAAAGTATTGACTTTGGAGAAACTTACTTGCAGACTAGAGCAGCCTTTCTCAACTTGGGGTCCTCCTCACCTACTGTTGGGCTCCCAAACTCCCATCAGACTCTGCAAGAATTGTTGCCCACTAACATCTGGGGATCTTACTAAATGCGATAATCTAGTCTTCTGTAATAGAAGGAGGGTTGTTGCTGTTTTCAAATAAAAGTGTGTTAATTTTATTATTACTGAGGCACTCTTAAGAGACACAATCCATAAAGAAAATGGGGGAGGGAAGAGGACAACAGCCATGGCTGGGTACCAGCCAACCTCACCTGTAGCCAGATGGAAATGGCTCCTAATGGCCATTTCTGGCCTGTGTGTTAACAGGTTTGGGAACATTATTCAGTGGTAGTTATTGCTCACTGTCAGGCTTGATTTTAGGAGAAGCTCAGGCTGTTGGGTAAGTCTGGAGGAAGGGGAGTTTCCCAAGTTAACCTGCTTTGACTGGGAGCCAGGTTCAAATTCCATGGAACTTAATGAGGGCAGTCTCACAACCTTCAAAGGGTGGTGATGGTGGCTGAGAATTGTATGCAATCCAGGAATGGAAAGCCCTTTGTACCCTGTGCTTTTTGAACATATGAAAACCACTGTCTCCTGGGTGTTCTGGAAGAGTGACCAAGATATAAGGTTGCTTAATTTACATGGCCTTTTCCCACATCTTTGGTTTCCAACCATTCTTACATCTGGGAAACCAATATGGCCTGTACTTGGTTCCTAGTCACTAATCAAGACATAGGCTTAGGTACCCTTCAGCACATGCCCTGTGTGACCAGAATAACTTACCATAGCCTACCTACAACCCTTTGGGTGGTTTGAGCTACAGGCAACTTCCCACTTGCACGTGATCAGCACATGCGCTCACTTTGACATGCATGCCATTTTCGGTACCAAAAGGGGATGGGCCGGGGGGATGGGAGTTGTAGTCAGAACATCTGAAGGGTCTCTTGGTTGGGAAGGCTGCCTTACAGAGTAGGATGCCTCTTTTGTAATTTTAAGACTGAAGCACCTGTTCTTTTGCTGATAGTCATAGTTCAAATACTTTTGCCTTTCTTCTCCAGAGAGGCGTTAACACTGACAGCGGAAGTGTCACCAGGGAAGCTTCGTTTGAAGGAATCAGCCAGTAAGTTACCTTGTGGGTTTGTGTGTCAAACAAATTGTTAACCAGCGAATGATTTGAACACCGTATAACCAGTGGAGGAAATGATCAGATGTCTATTAGAAGATGGCCTGATGTAAGGACTGTAAGCCTGTCATGGCGGCTTGATTATATGAACAATGATGTATTTTATTCTGGCTTTATATACTGTGAGTGGTATTCAACCAACATTTACTCAGAGTAGAGTAGCCCACTGAAATGAACAAGTATAAAGAGTCTACTCTGTGTAAAAGTAGTTGAATATTGTGTTTCATATACATTTTTTTAAAAATTTGTGTTTTATATACATTGTACTTGCATTTGAAAAGTGATTTGTTGTATATTGTTTAAGTTGTTGCATAGGCACCTGACCACAAGAAATACATGTTTGACCTGACAATATGTCCCAGGATAGTAGTTAGCCAGTTATGTGAAGCACTGCAATAGACTAATTAGGCTTCAGCCTATGGCTGAATCTGCTCTCCCACTCCTGGTTTTTTTATGACCCCCACCCAGGCTCCTCCTAGGCAGTAATGTGGACTTTGGCCTCAACAAGTTTAGGCCCCCCTGCACGGCAACATTATCAAGTATTATGCTCACATCACGCATAAGAACATAAGAAGAGCCTTCTGCATCAGGCCAATAGCCTATCTAGTCCAGCATCCTGTTCTCCTAGTGGCCAACCAGATGCCTGTGGGAAAACCCCCAAACAAGGCCTGAGCATGAGATTGCTTTCCCCTCCTGTGGCTCCCAGCAACTGGTGTTCAGAAGCATTTACAGCCTCGGACTGTGGAGGCAGCGCATACAAAACAACACCATCACGGACGGCAGGGCAGAAACTTGTTAATTTTAAAACTAAAGCTGGGATAAACATCTGAACTTTTCGAAAGCTTGTTCTCAAAAAGCTTATAAGTGTGTAACTTTTGCAATTCTGGGCATGAAGTGTGCCTACGGGAGGAACTTCCTGGAGTTTTGGCAGCTTTGATGCACTATTTTGACACACCCAGAATTCCATATTCTGTGGGTCATTCTGGAGACGGTGGTGGTAGGTTCCATTTCCATGTGCTACCTGCCATTCTTCCCTCCTGCCCAAGCGCCTCTTGGAAGAGTGTGACTTTGCCCTTTGATCTTTACCTTATTGGAAAGAGACTTCCAGCTGTCCACTGCCTTCCTCTCCATGGGTTTGCAGGGCAGAAAAAACTGATCTTCTCACTGCTGTTTGACAGCTGTAGATCACTTATGTCAGGAGCGGGATACCCACTGGTGTAGTACTGAGCGCCCTGCTGCTTTTTGCATGACAGAATTGATGCCCTCAATCGCTTGTTAGAGTGCTTCTCTCCTCTCCTCTCGCCGCCCCACTTTATCTCTCCCAGTCTTGGCATTGGCCTCTCAACAGACTGTCAGCTTTGTCATTTAAGGCATATAATTCCTTTGACTGCCTTGGAGAGAGTTGACACGGAGTACTTTGCAACTAATGAAGCTACAAGGGAGGAAGCTTAGAATCCGCTCTCAACTTTTGCTGCTGAGAGGAAACTTGTTGCTTTATCCGCTGTGCAAAAGCGCTGTGCTCCTGAACTGTCATTTTTTTATGTAAAGAAAGAAAGAAAAGGAAATAGATGCACTGATCTGCATTTTTTTAAAAGAAGCAAGAGTTTTTTCTATCCCCCTTATTCCTCTTTTATTTAAAGCACTTCCCAAGGCTTTTTGTGAAATGTGAAGGGCAATGAATATTAGAAACATAGAATTGTAGAGTCAGAAGGCACCCAAGGGGGCATCTAGTCTGACCCCCTGCAATGCAGGAATCACAGATAAGGATGCCATCCTTGTTTGCTGAAGGCAGCCAAAAATACAAATTGGTGTAACTATTCTCATGTGGTGTTAGGGTGAATAACATCACTTTCCATTCTTCTACTCCCAAATTCATCCTCTTGTTAAAAATACTATTCAGTGTTTTGTTCGGTGGGCTTCAATTCAACCTTCTGCAACCTGTGGAAATTTTGTGCCTTAACTCCCATCAGCCCAAGACAGCACAGCCAAGTGAAGCTGGGGCTGATGGGAGTTGTAGTCCAAAGCATCTGGAGGGCACTAAGTTAGCGAAGGCAGCTTTTGTGTTTTTCCTTCTTGGGCTCCCTCTCAGGTGAGGGATTTGTCTCGGATTATTTATTTGACTTTTTGCAAGGAGCCTAGGCTTTGGGCAATTTGGTTCTTGTGGCTGCAGTGCCCAGTCCCACTAAAAAGAACAGGATGTGTTCTTCTCTGTTCCTTGTTCTTTCTTAAGGGGATTGAGGGAAGCGGTAGACAGTGCCCCTTCCTAGTGCTGCAAAAGACCTATTTTGGCTTTTGCAAAAGTTTTATTTCAACATTGGTCTCAGCAGATCCTTTTTGACTACAACTGACATGGCCGTCCCCATTTTATTTTTTATCCTACCCTGCGAAGCCTTGCCCTCTTCCACCCTTGTCATGTCTCAGTACTTCTCTCAAGAGCTGAACTTCATTCTCTGCTTTCCAGGCTCTCACTCTCTGTCTTCTGTCGAAATCTGTCTCTTCTTGTGCTGCTTGCTATCCTGCGGTTCCCTTTTTCAGCCTCTGGTTGAACAGCTTCTGGATCGCTGGTGGTCTTTGACCTTTCATTCTTTTCTGCGTGAGGGTAAGTTGCCGTGTGTGCACGCACACAGCGAGGCTCAGGCCAGGCACACAAAGGCAGCGGGAAGGAAGAGAGACACAGGCCCCTGCATGCATGCACATTCTCTCTCTCACTCACATCCACACGTGCTTCCTCTCTCACACGCAACGCTTCTAAATGCCAGTTCCTGGAAACGGCAGTAGGAGAGAGTGCACATGCAGCTGCTGGGTGACCTTGGCCTAGTCGCACTTCTTTGAAGTCTCTCAGTCCCACTCACCTCACAGAGTGTTTGTTGTGGGGGAGGAAGGGAAAGGAGAATGTTAGCCACTTTGAGACTCCTTTGGGTCTCAAAAGCGGGATATCAAATCCAAACTCTTCTGCTTGAATCCTGCTTGCAGATTTCCCACAGTTATCTTGTTGGCTGCTGTGAGAACAGGATTCTGGACTAGGCGGCCCACTGACCTGATCCAGCAGGGTCTTCATATGTTCTTATGGGGGAGAAGGTGGCTATCTGAATCTGGCCAGTGTGTCATAAGTAAGGAGGTTTCTTCTGTCTTGTGGGTTTCGTAAATTCAGAACAGTGATCCCTGGTCACAGGAGAAGAGCCAGAGATAGTAGGTCTTTCCCCCTTTGGTGTACTGTGAGGATTTTTCTCCAACCTGCACTGTCACCTGAACAATGCCAAGCTGTTCCCTTGAACAGGAGAGCCAGATAGCTGTGAGGTCACCACTGTTTTCCCTTTTCCCAGCTTTCAGTTGGGATGCTCTCACAATGGTCTCTTAAATGTTCAATTCTCTGGTATTGATCTTGATGCCAGAATTACACCCTGCTATTCTGTGTGCAGCTCACCTGCCTGTATCTCCTGGTTTCCTTTGTCTCTCATTAAGATCATGGTGGGACGCTCCAACTCAAAATGGAAGCCAGGCTTTTGTTCACTGAACTTCATAGACTAAATGTACCATTTTGTTCATCAATGGGTTTTGTACTAGGTTGCCTTTATGCTTAACTAGCTTTTGCATCCTCTTTCTCCCCCCCCCCTTTTTTTCTTTTGTGCTGAAGCATGGCAGGAATAATAGTCCCTAAACCTACCTACTGGAAAGGAAAGTGTTTCATTCGTGTTCAAAGCAGGCAAATCTCATTAGCCGAGCTGCTTTTTTCCTCCTGGTGCCTGACTGAGTTCTGTAGAGGGCCTGAATTGTGTGGCTTGCTGGCTTCATTTTCTCATGCGGTGAGGTGTTGAGATGGAACACAGGCTAAAACAGAACAGCTTGCAGCAGAGGTGTTGAGCAGCGAGGCTGGAAAAATCCCACTTGCATCCAGAAATTGGATGCTGGCTCCTAAGAATGTGAAATACCTGTTCAGAACTTTGCAGAGCTTGAATTCAAGCATGCAATGGAATCTTAGAAACTGTAATACTGTACATTTCTCCAGTCCATTTGGTGGAGGGAGGGAAAGCCTTGAATTTTGAATGCCACCACAGAAAGCCCTGGGTTGCTACATCTCCTGGCAAAGTGGCCACTATCTCTCTTGTGGGTGCTTATTCATCACCTTTATTTCTCTTTCTCTCTCCCTCTTGCTTTGCTGTATGAAAATATATGAATACATCTTCATGTCACCTGAAATCACGGCTGCCTGCTTTTGCTCTAACTTCCTTTCCCCCTTTATCTCAGAGGCCGCCAGTGGGGTGCCTTGGGCACCAATATGCCATCCAGTAGCTCCTATGGGGCCCATGAAAAGTCTCAATAAATATTACCTCAGAAATCCACAGCGCACTAAAGAAGAAGAAGAAGAAGAGTTTGGATTTGATATCCCGCCTTTCACTCCCCTTCAGGAGTCTCAAAGCGGCTAACAATCTCCTTTCCCTTCCTCCCCCACAACAAACACTCTGTGAGGTGAGTGGGGCTGAGAGACTTCAGAGAAGTGTGACTGGCCCAAGGTCACCCAGCAGCTGCATGTGGAGGAGCGGAGACGCGAACCCGGTTCCCCAGATTACGAGACTACCGCTCTTAACCACTACACCACACTGGCTCTCCAGACTGTTTGCTCCTTCTGCTCTGTTCCTGTTTGCACTGACTTGGGCTCTCCTTCATTTAACAGCCCCCTTTAAGCATGCTCACATTTCATTGGATGCCAGAGTTGGACACCCACCCAGTGTCTAGAGTTTCAAGCTAATTTTTGTTATCTCTCTCGTTTTTAGATTTGTGGTTAACAACGCAGTTCTTCATCCGGAAATTGCTGAATGGTATGTTGTCTTTTCACATTTGTTTTCCAAAGCTTGCGCCAACATTCTGTGTGAGACCATGGCTGCAATCACAGAGCATTTTATCCCATTCCCCTGACATGTCCCTAACTGTTAATTTTTGCATTACATTTGAGCTTCCACACGACCTAAAAGTCACATCTGGACATCTGGTGGAATGGAGTGGAAGTTCTGCACTCATTTCCAGGTTATTTGATTTCATGAGAAAAATCAGTTTGCAACCACATCAGCCCAGAAAATTGTGGGAGTAAAGTCACAAAAAATGGGGCAGTTATACTTGCACAAAAAATGGGACAGTTATACTAGCACACACTTCTTCTGTTTTCATGGGCGCATTTGTGGAAAGGTTGGGGTGGAGGAGCAATGTTGTCTATGTTGGTCATTGTCATGCCACACAATACCCACTGGTGTGAATGAAATTTAGTGTGTCGTGTCAGCATATCAGTGAAAAAGCCACAGTTCCATAACACGACAAGGGCTGTTGTGTGAAAGGGGTGCTAGAAAAAGCAGCAGAAGCACTAGCATGATAACCAGGAAAACTAACACAGTAAATCCCATGTCTGGGATGTGTCTTAGCGTGTTGTCCAAATCTGGGCTTGGGGTTTGCCTCACTCCAGAGAGGCTGTGAGCTGCAAACAAGGTTTGTCCTTCAGTTTACAGCTCGGGGTTTGTCTGGATTAAGACAAACCACAAGCCTGGGTTCAGATGAGACCGAGAACACCCTCTTCCTGGGTTGCTGTGTGCTAAATTTCTGATGCCTGGGCCGCTGTCAAGGCACAGCCTATGGTGAATGGTGAAGGCCCTTCTACAGCCCCCAACTGGACTGCAGCCATGACGTAATACCACAAGGAAGAAAAGGATCTGAATGCCACTGAAATAATTCTTGCAAAATTCTTTAGTGTTAGCGGTTGTGTAGGTTCAAATACAAATACATTAATTATGATACTATTGCAGAGACTACCCAAAGAAGAATTAATTGAATGTCTGGCAGAATGGGTAATGTTATATAAATGTCAGGCGATTATTGCCTCCTTTTGGGATTCATTTTAAAAGCATTAATTCTAATGCATTCCGTTGGCAAATTTATGGATGTTCTCTTTAATTACACTTGAATGTCAATGGTGCCTGACATTAGCAGGAGCGAAACCGAGAAGAACCCAAGTCCTAAAGTGTGTTGCGCCACAGCGATGTTTCTTAATTTTAAAACTCATTTTCAATAAGGTGGATGTTATGACTCTTCTGCACTGTGGGGGGTTATAAAAGCCCTCTTGTTGGAAATGGAGATGCCACGAGCCAGTTTAGTGAGGCCTGGAGGAGGAATGAGATTGGCCTTCGTCAACCTGGGATCCTCCAGGTGTGTTTGAAAGCAGCTCCCATCATCTCCAGCCAGGACACCCCCCTCTTCTCAGGTGGAACATATATGTCCATAAGCTTAAGAAAATCTGTGAGGGCTTAGATTGAGGGCGGGGAGTGTGTATGTCTATTCCACCCCTCAGCCATCTCATATTGCCCTGGCAGGTCTGAAGGGTGTTTGAATTACTGCAGTGCTCTCTGTGTGGGGCTCTCCTTGCGTTTGGTTCAGAGGCTGCAGCTGGTGGAGAACCTGGTGGCTAAGTTTCTTGTAGGGGAAAACAACCCCCAGCATATAAAACCTTGCTTGTGGGATTTGCACTGCCTGTCAGTTTGCTACTAGCCCAAGGTTCCCAGTGATGAGGAGACTTGAAGCCACATTCAGCTGAACACGCTTACAGGCCTTCCTGCTCAAAATGGGATGGTTGGGAATGGAGCAAGCCGCTTCTGGCAGGTGCAGGGGATGGAGGCAGGGGGTCCTGCAGATGCCTCCTCCCCAGTTATGCCTTTACACATTCATTTCAACCCATCTGTATGGTGGTATTATACTTTTTTTATATCTTGCCTTTTGCCCTGTCCAGGACTCAAGGCGGCTTGCACAGATAAAACAGAACAAGCTAAAAACATAGAAAAGACAACCATTAAAGTGTACTAAAGCACTAATAGAATTAACATAATCTAAGAAGATCCATTAAAAACACAGACTATAACAATAAAAGCCTCACAGAACCAGCTGTTCCCTTGGAAACAGGAGTAGTAGTATTTATTTCATTAAAAGTGTTTATAATTCTGTCGAAGGTTCCTGGGTGAAACCATGCACATTCCAAACCAAGAATTAAACAATCGTATTGAAACAGCGTAAAGCGAAATGCAACATTCAGTTACAAGTCAAAGCAGTAGCGACAAAGGAAATTCAGGTGTCCAGTGTGCCTTGCTGTTACTTGTAACCCTTCACAATGATTTGTTTTGAGTCAACTGACCAGTAACACAGAGGAGAAAATAACAGCCTTGGTAAAACTGATTATGACTGTTGGCTTGGAAACGGTCTCAGGACAGGATTGACTATACTTCCTCTAACCCCCTGGTAATAACTACATTGATGAACGCTTCCACCTCAATATATATGATTGCAGGGGCAACATCTGCCTGCAAAGGAAACTCTAGCAAATCTGCCACCGAAAGCTTTGTAGTTAAAATGTGCCAATAAAATCTCTCTTCTGTCTTTAGGTTTTTATAAAATATTTAAGTGAGGCATGAGATGATTAAAGGCAGGCCAAGCCAGAACCTGTAACCAAGGGATATTCAGTGGCGAACATGATTTATTTATGGCCCACCAGGCACAAATAAAATAAAAAATGCTACAGGATATAAAATGTGTAAGATCATAATAGGGGGAAAAAAGAAGCAATCAGATTTCTTAAGTGGGATTGCTATATTTAGGTATTTTGTTGTGAGCTTTGCAATTTGAAAAATTGGAGCCCTCCGTTAAAATGACCAATAGAGATTTTGAAGAGTAGCCAGCCAAATAATGTACAATGGGATGCAGAGAGAGTTTCTTTAGCTCCCCTGGTATAAACCGCACTTAAAAAGAGCATGTAAAGCTAGCACCTGTTATTTGCAGGGACGTATTATATCTGCTCCCTAAAAGATCTGAGAATAAGGTCTGCCAAGGAGAAAGTTTTTAGAAAGAGGCAGCCAGTTCCAAATAAGGCATCCCATCCTTAAGGTTGGGACATGGGAAACCTGGCAACCAGGGAGACCACAGGACACCTAGCCCAGAAACTGGATCATGTAAGTTCTGCAAGTCTGCATCTCTGCATTCCCTGTTTCCCTAGAAATGCAAAGGTAGTAAATGGAAATGCATGCAGTTGTGGACATTTTTGCATCCTTCCATCCCCCCCCCCCCGCCGCCGCCCAAAGTAGGGATTGATAAGAAAGAGGGATGGAGAAATGTGCAGTGTTATTTATATATGTATGTATATATGTACCGTATGTGTTAGATTTATATCTTGCCCTTCCTCCCACAGGAGCCCAGGGCAGCAAGCACATAAAAGATAAAGCATCTAAAAGCTGTTCTAATACAGATGGAGGCTGGGAAAGATATTTACTTAAAAGGCTTGTTGGAAACCTTTTAACGTTGCATCGAGTGTTTCCATTTTTGCACATTTTAGAGGAGAAGAGGGAGGATGTTATGAGTTCTTGTCTTTGTTTTTTTTGGCCAGCTCTCCCCCATGTATTCTTTGTGCAGGTACCAAGGATCGTTACCTCTTGATTTTGCAGGACAGCTACCCTGGCTCAGGTGGGGTTGAGACTCTACACCTGGCCTGGTCTTTTGTGTGATGCTTTATTTAGACCAGATCAGCTGGCTGCTAAGTCAAGTTTGGGCTGATCTTTTCCTCTCACAGAATGTACTTATGGGCCTGTTTGGTTCTGATTTTCTTGTGGCACTCTTCTGCTGATTTCAACATGGTTGGGGCTTTGTTTGTAGTTCTTGTATTGTCCAAATCAGGGAGTTTTTATGCTAGTTCTTTTGCACTGTTACAAAATGGTCTAGTAAACTAAAGCAATCAGAGCTAAGCTGGGATGTAATGGACATCTTTGGATGCATGAATGCTCTGCTAGCACCATGGTCACAGTTTCAAAGTGTGTGTGTAAAAGAGAGAGAGAGAGAGAGAGAGAGAGAGAGAGAGATGGGGGGGGGCAGACAGTGCCAGAAAGTTTGACGCAGTACTGTAATGATAGGTGGTACCCACATTGGCTACCCTGTAGAAGAGCATCCTTTCCTTACAGAAGATTCTCCAGATGTTGTTGGGCTCTACCTCCCAGTCAACATGGCCAATCGTCTGTGCTGATGGGAGTCCAACAGCATGTGGAGGGCACACATTTTGGAAGGCTGCAGTTCAAACTCTGTTAAAACATTCAACTCAGATTAGGGTACCATAAGAACGCTGGTATGTTCAAAATGGCAGAATCCATTTCCATATGAGGAAAGGTTTGCAGCATTTTGGGACTTTATAAAATTATACATGGCACGGAGGAAGTGGATAGAGAAAAGACTTCCCGTCTTTTTCATGATGCTAGAACTCTTCATATATTTCTATTAATATACAGAAGTTTCCTTAAAGAATTTCTGCATTCTATTTTACTAATATATGCATTTGAAACTGGAAGTCAGTGATGGCCACCAACTTGGATGGCTTTAATATAGAGCATTGGGCAAATTTCTGGGGGATAAGGCTATTTTCTACCTCCACAGTTGGAGGCAGAAATGCTTCTGAATACCAGCTGCAGGAAAACACAGGAAGGGAGAATTGCTGTTGTGCTCAGGTCCTGCTTGCAAGTTTCCCACAGGTCTCTGCTTGGCCACTGTGAGAACAGGATGCTGAACTAGATGGGCCACTGGCCTGATTCCTCAAACTCTTACGTTCTTTATCTTGGATGCTATTTAGGCAAGGTGACTTTAAAAGTAGCTGCTCCAAACTTTGGTGAAAGAACTGCTCGTGCCTTCTAGGGAAGGAATGAAATGTTCTTGTTAGCCCCAAAGCACCTCTCTAGTGTAGAGACGGTCTTTGTGTGTCTGCAGGATTTATGGCTTTGAACTTGCCTCCCTCTGGTCAAGAGACATGCTCCGAACAGTGACCCATATGCCTACACAGGAAGCAAGTCTCTCGGAATCAACTTCTAATGTCCTGGTTACTGAAAACGGGAGATGCAATTTCAAGTCCCATCATGGGAGGTGATCAGATTAAGGCTCTGCCTGCCTGCTCCTTAAAAAGGGAAGGGCAAGTTTTGGTGAGCACAACACTTGTCCTGCATGCAGAATGTCCCAGGTTCATCTCCAATAAGAACTGGGAAAGACTCCAGTCGGAAAAGCTGGGAAATCCTCTGCCAGCCATGGTTTCACTGTGCATGTCAGTTGATACAAACCATGGTTTTGTGATCAAACAGGTTTGCAAACCTGGATCTTGAGCAGCCTTCCCCCACCCTGGCACCCTCCAGATGCTTTGAACTGAAACCTCCATCAGCCCCACTCAGCATTGACTGTTCAGAACAACTGGAGGGCTTCCAGTTCATAAAGGCTGACCTAGCCAAGCACTCCAGAGGCCGCCACTAAACAGCATGTTGGGTGGCCACCAGGTGAGTTCATGGCAGAGGTGCGATCTGCGCTAGGCCTCCTTGATCCCAAGCACCATTTCCTTGGCTTTTATGCTGCACCCCAGCTCCTGCCTGAAGACGTGCAAGCTTTCGATTTTTGCTAAACTCTTCATCCAGTGGTTCATAAATTTAATACAGCTCTGAGCCAAAACAGTGTGCGGGGATATTTTCTCTCCCCACTCCCCCGCCCGCCTTCTCCGTCTGCTACCTTTGCGAAACAAGCTTCAGCAACCCAAAGGACTTCATAGCTTTAGGCAAGGATTCATTCATATTCTGCTACTGTGCCTCGGACTCCCATTTCTATAACTTGAGAAATGGCAGGAAGCTGCCATGTTGTGAGCCTGTGACTTGTGCTTGGTAAAGAGTGCAGGGTTGGCTCAATAAAACATGCATAACTTCATAGGACTGTCTGACCCCACAATTGTGCATACCCTGTGCAGTAAATGCAGGCAGAGGGATTGCCTATTCATGGCAGGTCGAGGCAAAGCAAGGTCAGTAAAGCATGTCTGGCCTGGGACAATATGTCTTGCTGCTTGTCTGTCCTGAATCTCCAACTTGCAGCTTCAGTGGATGCTCATAAGTTCTGGTGTTAGGTGAGTGGGGAGGAGAGCTTTTTTCTGTCAACTTTCTCAGGGTGTCTAATGGGGGTGGGCCTGGTAGATGTGAACAGGAAGGTCTAGAATAAACCAACCTGCTTTGCACTTTACAGAGTGAGGGAATTCTGTGCACCGTTAAGTATGCCTTGAAAGCAGCCAGCTGTCCCTGACTTGACATGGGAGACAGTATAGAAGTGTTATTAACAAATAAATAGATAGCATCTTGTGAAAGGTTTTTTACTTCCCAGGACTAAGGTTTTTCAAGCTTGAAATGTGTTTGAGCTCTTCAACACAATTCCGTTAGTTCATTATCCGGCTCCTTCATCCTTAACTTATACTGACACTGTAAGCTGAACTAGACACAGCATGGGGGATCCATGGTCATTTTTGATTTGATTATTTAATTTCTAACCTCTTGATATATTAAAAATATCTCTAAGTGGTGTACGGAAAACTGAAGCAACAACAGACAACTTAAACAAAATATTACAAAAAATCACAGTTACATATAAAAATGTCACATTAATACAAAATTACTAATATATATAGAACAGTGTTGATTCATTTTCTTTCCTCCCTCCATCTCAGCCCACCCACAAAAGTCTCACAATGAGAAGAGAGTTTCTGGAAACAGTGAACAGCACCCTCGTCTAACTTGTGTCTGACCCTGTCTTGCTTGGCCGGTTTTAAAAACCAGACTGAAGTAGAATTCCTACAGTGTACTGATGTGATAAATTTACAAATCAAGAGTATAAACTCGGGATTTATTCACACTCAGAGCCCAATGATTCTGTTAAATGGTCCTGAGAAAGTGCTTCAGGTTTCTCTGTAATAATTTTAACAATGGCAGGCACTAGCCTGACTGGTCTCCTGCCTTCAGCCATGGCCAAGTACTCTGACCAGCCTTCCTCAGCCTGGGGCCTTCCAGATGTTTTGGGCTGTATCTCCCATCAGTTTAAGCCAGCTGGGCTTTTCTGTCCTGCTGGTTGGCTGATGGGAGTTGTAGTCCAAAACATCTGGAAGGCATCAGGTTGGGGAAGGCTGCCCTAGATCTTCTCCTTCCTGTCCATAGACTCTAGCTGCTTGCACCCCACTTATGGTCTAGGGGCTGCAGTTAGGGTGATCGCACTCGATGTCTTATACCAACCTTGCAGGTGCTTTTTCAGCTCATCCTACTTTGAGTAAATTGAATGCCACACATGCCTTTTATTTCCTGATGTCCTTTATTTGCTGCAATCTCATAATAGCCTCTTGCTTTTGAAACGCATCTGGTCGGCGGCAGGTTTGCCAATTAGGTTACCTGGTTATTCTTTGTGCTCTCAACTTAATCACTGCTGAGCTGTAGGGGGAATTACTAACCTGATTCTCCTCTTCTCCTTTCCTTTTGAAGCCGTGTGATTAAGACGGACATGGAGTTGGAAGTCCTGCGCTATACCAATAAAATTTCCAGTGAAGCTCATAAAGAGGTAATGGATCTCTTACAGATAATAATTTTTTCTGCTCTTTGTGTAACGGTGGCTTTTCAGAAAATGTTCCCAGCTACTTGAATTGCTTAATAATAAACTAATGGAAGAGCTGGGACAGAATTAGGAGGATAATGTTCCTTCTAATAGAATCCTAATAATACACATTGCTTTGCCCTTGAACTTGCTGTTGATGCCCAGGGAACAAAATGTCTTCACTTATCATGCTGGAACACATAGGAACATAAGGGCCCTGCTGGATCAGGCCAGTAGCCTCTCTTGTCCAGCAGCCTGTTCTTACAGTGTGCAGTCAAATGCCTGTAGGGAACCTGCAAGCAAGACATGAGCACAGCAACAATCTGCCTACCTGCAATTCCCAGCAACTGGTATTCCGAGGTGTATTGCCTCTGACAGTAGAAAGAGAACATAGCCATTATGGTTAGTGGCCATTAGTTGCCTTACCCTCCATAAATTTGTCCAACACTATTTTAAAGCCAGCAGAGTTGGTGGCCATCACTGCCTCCTGTGGGAGTGAGTTCCATAGGTTAACTCTGTGCAGCATGAAGAAGTCTTTTATCTGTCCTGAATCTTACAATATTCAGCTTCATGGGGTGACCACGAGTTCTAGTGTTATGACAGAGGGTTAAATATATATACAGTGGTACCTTGGTTCTCGAACTCAATCTGTTCTGGAAGTCCGTCCGACTTCCAAAACATTCGCAAACCAAGACGCAGCTTCTGACTGGCCCCAGAAACAATGCCAACAGCCAAAACAGACATTAGGCTTCCAAAAATGTTTGCAAACTGGAACACTTACTTCCAAGTTGCGGCGTTCAGGAGCTGAATTGTTCGGGAGCCAAGGTACCACTGTATATACATTGCCACTTTCTCCATGTGATTCATAATTTTATAAACCGTGATACCTCTTTAGTTTAGAGAAAAGGCAAGTAAAAGTCCAAAAATCTGCAGCCTTTCCTCAAAGGAGATTTGCTGCATCCCCTTGATCATTATGGTCCTTTCTTCTCAAGAGAAGACCTGGTAGGCTCAGGCTTACTCAACATGCTGTAAATGTGCTCCTGTGTTCCGCAGAAGCCTTCAGCACATTTCCTAAGGCATTTGGGTGGCCTTCTCACATGGAGAGGTAGGTTCACATATTCAGATCATCACTTGAACCCTCATCAGACATTTATTACCCTAATGTTGGGGGGGGGGACATGGGTGGGGAAGCGCTGTGGGGATGTGCATTCAGCTCCACCCTGGGGACAGAATTTTTTGGATCCAGGATGTGATCATCACACACTTCTAGTACATTCATGTTCTTTGCTATGTCCAGGAGGTGCAATTTAAGTGCATTATACATCGAATCGTGGTAGCTCCCAAGATAAACACAAAATTATCAAGTGTTTAAGGTTCTTGTGCTCCAAATTTCTTAGGGTGTGTCCTATGTTTGTGACAACAGGTAATGAAGGCCGTCAAAATAGGCATGAAGGAATATGAGCTGGAGAGGTGAGTACCTTTTCATGTGACAAAACTATGGAAAAGCATCTCTGTTAGCAGGAAATGCCCCCAGATAACTCTGAGCGACACTGATTTAATGGCAATTGCACGTGCTCATTTCGAGGCTGGGGCTAGACATATTTTATTATATAGAAGGCATTTCCCACATTTCCTCCGTGCTATTAGATGGCAATTGCTTTTAGGTATGGTTTTAAAGCAGTATAATTCTCTTTGCAGACTTTTATGTAATTTACAGAAACTATACCTAATAGCCATTATTATTGCTTGATAGCATCCAATAAAGCAGCTTTTATGTGTGTGGATATCACAGCTATGCCTCCTACGTACATGAGTGTTTATGGGGGCCATAAAATGTCCTGGAGTGTTTGGTGAAATGTCTCTGCTACAGCTGGAGCAAATATTGGTGGTTTTGTTTATGCATTCTGATTTCCGTTTGTTTGTGTTGCTTTCCCTAATGAGTCTTTAGATTCCTCCATCCCTTCCTTTGCCCATATGGCTTTGCATCCTGAGAGAAGCATGTGTGCCGTAGTGAATGTCCAGCCAGGCTTCAGGGTGATTGGTGTTTGAACTTCCTCTTTGCTACATGCTCATCATAGAATCATAGAGTATTTACTCCTAATGCTCTGCCATTTACACGTGGCTCCAACTGGTAGATCTTGGGACTCTACTATAAAGCAAAGTGGATCTGATTAGCATGAAGTTTGCCCACCTCTGCTGCTCTCTGTGGGATTGGCGCCAACCACTTGGGTCTAACACTATACCTTCCAGATAGTGAATTCAGTACTAGTATTTTAGGGTCATTTTGTAATAGATGTCCAGTCGTTTCTGAAATAAGATTTCAAATAGTAGTCCAATATATTTGCATTACCAAGCAGCTGCAGAACACATTTGTCCTGTGTTGTTGAATATATCCTATTAAGTCTACCTGGGGTCAAATACTGTTGATATTGAATCTTATTTTAAAACTCCTTTTATATACTTGGAGGTGGTAATTTAACCCAAATCCATTTCTGCTCTTCCGTAGTCCACTCCTCTTGTAGATCTCTGGCCCATTTCCTCATAAATGTTCCAACTTTATTATCCAGTTTTATAATTATGGAATAAATGCTACCAATTAAGCCTCTTTTAGCACACTGGTGTTAATAGGGTTTCATATGCGTGCAGTGTCTTTCCTTAAAACTCCATGTTTTCTTATTAAGCAAACTAAGGCATCTCCTTTTATTTTTACTTTTTATTTAATTCTGCAAGAAGATGTCCTTGTATGAATGGTGTTACAGAACTGTCGCGGGGTGGGGTGTCCCCATAAACAAAAATAATAAAAAATGCTAGGATTTCGGGTTATGTGTGATATGAAGAAAGAATATAAGCTGCAAAGGAATTCTGGGTTGCCTTATGCAAACCATTCTGGCTGGCTGAGGGACAAGCAGAGCTGTTAGAATTTCAATAGAGAGCCATTGACAGTCAGTCATCAACAACTCCTTGCTCCAGGTGTGACCAGTGACTGGAAATTTGGAAGTTTACCAGGGTAACTGCTCTGGGGGAGGACAAGGGGCTTCTGGGAAGAAGAAGAGGGGAGATCCATCCGGGGTGGAGGAAGGGGGTACAGTGGGGAGTGGACCGTCCCAGGTGTCTTCGCTGAGGGGGGTGACATTTGGCAGTCGCAGGCGGGCGGCACGCTGAATGTCTACCATCAGCGGCTCGCTCTGCCCCTGTGGACGGCTTGCTCCGCCCCTGCCTGAAGGGCTTGGGCGCTGTTCCATGCACCTGAGCAGCTATCCCACGCCTGGGAGGGCACCCTCCATGCCCCGCCCCTCTCGGGAGTGTGCCCTGCCCTTCTCGGGAGTGTGCCCTGCCCTTCTCGGGAGTGCACCCGCCCTGGGCAGCACGGGCATATGCTCCGCCGCTGGATCCATCTTGGTGAGGTAGAAGGAAGGACTGCCTGCAATGCTTTGGGCCATTATCTTAAGATCTGGACCCCCTCCATGCAGACTGAGGGTGTAAATAGGCAAATAGACCCTATTTCTTAAAGCACGACAGCCTCCACTGTGTCTTCTATTCTCCAAAGGGACACAGACCCTGTGTGGGTGCCTGAGATCCCATGCACTCTTGCCACGGCTTGGCAGAGAGAGGGACCGGCGCTGGGCTTTTGTAACAATATATTCTCACACTGGGACTTTTCTTAAAGTGGTCTGTGTTAATGGGGGATCTCCACAAGATGTTGCAGGTGTGCAGATCTTCAGGGTGCCAGCCAGCCAGGTGTCTCGTGCTCCAGGATAGCTGTCCCATTTTTCTTTTCCAAATGACATTCAGCAGTCTGTGTTTACTGAGCATGCTCAGTACACGTGTGGCTGTGGGTTGGATTTTGCCTCCATCCTCCCTTCTTGTACATCTGTGAACCTTGGGGTTCTGCCAAGGATGCTGACTGATACCTCCCCTGTGTTTCTCTGTGGCCCCTACAAAGCCATTGGCTGTCACCACCTGAGTTCACTTTTAGAAGTTTCATCAACATTATTTAAGCATCAGTTTGATCCCTTGCAGCTAAACGTAGCCTCTTTGTTTTGAAGGGAGATTAAATTTGCCTGGCATTCACATTTGTCATTAGGCTCCTTCTATTCTAATCTCACTTTCCCCATCATGCCATAAAATATGTTGCCTTTTTAATGAGGTAATTAACACTTGATTCATAATTTCAATCAAGTGGCATTGGCATAGGAGTCGGTGTCGCATTAAAATGAATTAAAAGGTCCCATTGGGGCATTTTTTAGTATCATCAAGTGTACTTGACATGTGTTTGGCTGTGCAAGGCAAAATGGGTCAGTTTGAGGCGCATCCCATGACATATTTGCTTTCGGTGTGTTGGAGAAGAAAGATGGGGAGGATGGTGCAGAACCAACATTTGGTTAATGGGCCTCAGTCGCTTTTTCTTTAAGTAGAAAGAGAAATGCAGTATTTAGGGTAGGTGGATTATCATTGCAAAGCCTCTGGGAAGCTATTGTTGCATTCTTTTAAAGCTCCAAATGGCTCTTGCCAACCTTGTAAAGATTAGTACTGAAAACTTTAAAGCAGCATCAACAGAAGCTGAGAATATGACTTCCTTGTAAGTTGCCTGTGACGTTTCCTTCTTTGCCTGTGGGAACATGGAATAGCTTGGGAAATCCATTGGAGATAATAATGGGACAGAAAACCTGCATGGTCCTGGATGATACAGATGCTGATCTAGTCCAACCCACTGTAATGCAGGAATCGCTGCTAAAGAATCCCTGACAGGTGGCTATCCAACCTCTGTTGAAAAATATCCAAAGAACGAGTAGCTATCAGACCTTTGGTGTTGTGGTCTCAACCCCTTTGGAATTCCCTCTACTTGGAAATTAGGCAGTCCTCATCTCTATTTTCTTTTGTGTGCCTACTGAAGACTTTCCTCTTTCAATGGGCCTTTTCAGTAGCGACCTTTCCCAGTCTGCTCCTTTCGGAGAAGGGGAGGGATATAAATATAAGAAATAATAACTAATAAAGGAAGGATGCTCTCAACAACTGGCTCACGGGTTCAGATCATGTGCTCATTTCCTGAGTCCTTCAGATTAGCTCAGGAAATCAAATTTATCTCGAGTTATTTTTGGGAAACAAATTAGTTCATTTCCGGGGTGTTCTGAGAAGACCCAGGAGAATCCAACCATCTCTGCCTGTGACACAGCTGAATCCAGGAAGAGCCTCATCCTCCTTATTGCAGTCTCCGCAAAACTCAATTTGGGAAGAGGCTGACGATATTCTGCCCAGTAAAGTTGCCATAAATAATGTCAGATCAATAGAGTGGAGGAATATCATAAGGCTTAACTGTGCGTGCATCCAGCCTTCGTGCCTTTTACAGCTTTTTATTACTACTATTATCCCCCTTTAATAAAAGGTTTGTTTGACTCTTAAGGGACGGCAAATTGTTTTTGTGGAAAAGCGGATGCTGCACAAGGCTGTGGCTCCCACCCAGCGATGCTTGGCTACATATTGGGGTACTTTCACACTAGCCAGGCAGCTGAAACTTCATGATGGTAGTCCAAGAGAGCTGGTGCTTGGGAGGGACAGGCTGGCTGGAGGAGCCTTGTGTGTGGAGCTGGAGGATTTTCTGTGACCACCAAGTGCCCCTGAAGCCTTTTGAGGAACCTGTGAGATCAGTGACCAAGACTGCATCAATTCCTTCTTGATGGAAGCCAGCACAGAGCTGGCAAAGTCCGCTTGTTGAGGCAGAGTATTGGGATGTTGGAGTTCCCCGGCTCCATTTATTCTGCTGTACTGGAGTAGATTTCCCATGGATTTGGGCATGTGCTAGAGATTATGTTCTCTGGGGTCCAATGCACGAAGTAAGCTCCTCCCTCCTTTTGCATCTTGTTTTGGATCAAGGCCCTCCTTCACTGAGGAATGAGAGCGATGTTCAGTAGCCCCCAACAGATGCAAGCCCCTTTGGGGATACCTTGGGGAATCTCCTCTCTGATGCATAAAACACAACTCTGTCCATTGTACCTGTGGCCTTCCCAAAGTGTCCAGTGTTTATCCTCCTTTGTTGCTGTTTCATTTGCCTGGTCTGACTTCCTGTAATGCTCCAGGGTCATGGAAGCACCACCAGCTCCTCGGAAAGGCAGGTGGGAAATCTCCCTTCGTTCCTGAGTGTATTATTCATATCCCAATCTGTGTCTGGAAAGTCCTCTCTCTTCCACTCTCTCTCTCTCTTTAATCTTCCAACGGTTTCCCCTCTCTACCCTCCCTTCCCAGAATTTAATTCCTTTGGGTCCATCCGTCCCCCCTTTTCTCGCCTTAATCTGATTCCAGGGCAGCCATCTATCCCAGCCTTTTGAAAATCAATGGTGTAAGTGGGATAAAAGAATTCCGAAGCCAGAAGGACTTAGCTGTGACTTACTTAGAGTGGCAGTGATGTTAATGCAGAGCCCCACTAACACCGCCGCCCTTCTTTAGCTTTTGATATTTGTTGCATGGCTCAGTCC